GTAACCGTGACCGATCCAATCCGAACCGCCTGTTCAGCTTAGTATTTACGACGTAGTTCTTACGGTAATTACCATAGTTCATTAGACGCGTAGGATGATGAGACGCTTCACATGATTTATATGTACACCACATATAAATCATGTAGTAAGTAGTAAGCCCCGATAATCAATCACTTTCGAATCTTCCAACTATTGGGCAAGTGTTTTCTGCTCTACTCTCTTCGGTCTCTCCGCTCCGTTCGCTCCGCTTTCCTCGCTCCGATCTACAATGCAACAGGTTATGAGCCCAAGCGCCATGTCGTCCACCAGCAACGCCTCCATTGACAAGTTCAACGGAGACAATTATGCAACGTGGAGCCGGTACATGCGCGGTGTGTTTTTGACGAAGTCCGTCTGGCACGTCGTCAACCGTGAAGTGACTCCGACTTTCACCGACCCGCGAGCGTCCGATGACTACGTCAAGGCAAGCAACATCGCGTTTGGTATGATGCTGCTGCACATGAACGCGGACTATCATCAAGTGCTGGACAACTGCGAGGAAGCCTGGGTTGCGTGGACAAGTCTGAAGACGCTGTACGGTGGGTCGCAGAAGGCAGGACGCATCTACCTCAAGCGGCAACTTTTCAGTATCAAGATGGCTGAAGGCGCGAGCGTCATGCATCACTGCAACGAGGTCCTCAATATCTCCGCCAAGCTTAGCGGCATCGGTGCGAAGATGGAAGACGAAGACGTTGCGATCTGTCTGCTACTCAGTCTTCCGAAGAGCTACGAAAATGTGGTGCTCAACATGGAAATGAGCAGCACCGAGCTTCGCACTCAAGACGTGGTGAGAGTCCTGACGAATGAGCATGCCAAGCGTCAAGGAGAAAAAGGGACAACGACAGCGACTACGGTGAAGGCTGAAGATGCAAGCAAGGCATTCAGCGCCGAGCGTGAGCCCTACCAATGCACGTATTGTGGCAAGGTGGGACACACGGTGGATCGTTGCTGGACAAAGCAGAAGAACGAAGGTCGGGGAGCCCGACGCGGCGGCAATGGTCGTGGACGTGGGGCTAACAATGTCCAGTGGGGACATCATGATGAAGGCAATGGCTACGATCGAGTGGCGTTTTTTGCAGTCTCGTTCGAATGTGGAGTTTCGACGAGCAAGGACGTGTCTGGAATGTGGGCCGTCGACAGTGGTGCAACGCACCACATTTGCCACGACAAGACCAAGTTCGCAAGTTTGGCAGAGCGCAATGAGGGCGAACTCTTGGTGGCTGATGGCAACAAGGTGGCCATCAAGGGTGTGGGAACCATCATGGAAAAGGTGGTTCTGCCCAACGGTGAAGAGCGTGAGATCGAAATCAAGAACGCGCTATATGTTCCAAGTATGAGCAAGAACCTGCTCTCGGTGCCACAGATTAACAGCCATGGCAAGTTTCAAGTCGTGTTTGACGGGTCCAAGATGTATGTAACTCTCAAGAACTCACAGCAAGTGGTGGCGACAGCGGATCTCGTGGATGGACTCTACTGGCTTCGGACGACTCAACGATCAGCGAATGTGACAACAAGTGGAACCAGTTGTGCCGATCTACATGCGAGAATGGGTCATGCTCCAGTAGATGTACTTCGCAAGATGATCGCAACCAACATGATCAAGGATGTGCGAGTCCCTCTCAAGTCGGGTGGAGCAACTACATGTCGAGGATGTCAACAAGGGAAAATGGTCCAAAAACCATTTCCAAGCAACCGAGACAAGCGCAGCTACGATACGTTTGAGCTACTTCATCTGGACATCTGCGGGCCCATGGAAAAGGATTCGCTCGGTGGCAGCAAATATTTGCTGCTGATCATCGACGAAGCCAGTGGATGCATGAAGGGCTTTTGTCTGCGAGTGAAGTCCGAGGGTGAAGACTACATCCGGAAATATATCACCATGGTACAGACACAATTCTGTAAGAAGGTCAAGTTCGTGCGACACGACGGAGCTCGCGAGTTTGCAACCAACTCGCTTCAACTGTTCTACGAAGACGAAGGCATTGAACAGCAGACAACGGTGCCGTATGCACATCAAACGAACGGAACAGCAGAGCGTGCCATTAGGACTATTGTCACGATCGGCCGCAGCATGCTTCATCATGCCAAACTGGACAAGTGTTTCTGGGCCGAAGCAGCGATGACGGCCATCTACGTCAAGAATCGACTGCCGTCACCTAAAGTCGTGCACAAGACCCCGTTTGAGATCGTCTACAACTTGAAACCATGCGTCAAGCACACGCGAACATTCGGGTTTCAGACATACATACTGACGCCTAAAGAGAATCGACTCAAGTGGGATCCAAAGGCTCGCGCTGGCATATTCGTGGGCTACGAAGAAGTTTCGAAGGCATATCGTGTTTATGACATCGAGGCGGGGCAGGTGGTTATCAGCCGCGATGTCAACTTCGACGAGTCCACCTTTGGACTTCAACTGCCGATCACTGATGAAGATGTCGATGACCTGGACTTCGAATTGCTGGATCTTGATGACGAAGAGCTGCGTCAAATGGAGTACAAGCAAACAGGCAAGCGCAAGAACCGACTCAATGATGAAGATACAGCAGCTCCACGACCGCGTGCAGTGCGTCAACGACCAGGACTAGAAGAGTCAAGCGCGCCGGAAAACAACTCGTCACGCCAAGAAGAAGACGAAGAAACGAAGGATTCTGGTGATTCAACACTGCCTGTGTTTTGGCGTGCGAGTGCAAATGCCGTTGAAGCAGCAGTGGACTTATCAGAGCCCTCAACATTTGAAGCAGCAGTAAGCGGCCCTGACCAAGTGCACTGGAGAAAAGCAATTCATGCAGAGCTCGAGTCAATGCGACTTCGCGGTGTGTTTCGTGCAGCCAAGCTGCCCAACGGACAAAGCGCCATTGGCACAAAATGGGTGTTCAAGATCAAGCGCAAGGCGGATGGGTCAATCGAGAAGTACAAGGCACGACTTGTGGCCAAGGGTTTCCGCCAAAAGTATGGCATCGACTACACGGAGACGTTTTCGCCTGTGGTCAAGTATGTGACGCTGCGAATGGTGATCGCAATTTCCAAGCATTTTGGATGGCCCATCGACCAGCTTGATGTGGTGACAGCTTTCCTGTATGGCGTCATGAAGAAACAAGTGTTCTGCGTGATTCCTGAAGGCGTCGAACTTGACAGTACGTTCGACTGCCTGGAATTGGTGAAGTCAATTTACGGCCTCAAGCAAGCGTCGCGAGTGTGGAACGAGACGTTCGACGAGTATGTGTGCTCCATCGGATTTCAAGTATCGGACTTCGACCCATGTCTCTACATCAAGACTTCGGACGGCCATTGCTTGTTTATACTGGTCTACGTGGACGACGTCTTGGTGACTGGAAGCTCGCTCGAGCTGATTGCACAAACCAAGAACGACCTGAAGACGCGGTTCGAGATGACGGACAGCGGCAAATGTGCGTTTGTTCTTGGGATCGAGCTTTTGGACGGTGCAGATGGAAGTGTGACACTATGTCAGCGTCGGTATGTCGATGATATCCTCAAGCGCTTTGGCATGGATGATTGCAAGGCAGTCGCAAGTCCAGTCGACATGAGCTCTCGACTTGTTTCAAGTGATGCAACTACCAAGGTCGATGCTCCTTTTCGCGAAGCTGTTGGTGCGTTGATGCGCCTGACCACTGCAACGCGTCCGGACATTGCGTTTGCTGTGGGCTATGTGTCGCGGTTCATGGAAAATCCCCAAGAAGAACACTGGGTTGCAGTTAAGCGTATCTTTCGCTACCTACAAGGCACCAAGACGCATGGAATTTGCTACAAGCCAAGTGCAAGGATCGACTTCCGTGGATATTCGGATGCGGATTGGGCTGGTGATCTTACCGACCGCAAGTCAACATCGGGGTACACGTTCATGCTACTCGGTGCGCCAGTGAGTTGGGGCAGCAAGAAGCAGCCAAGTGTTTCGTTGTCCACGACTGAAGCTGAATACATCGCACTCAGCTTGGCGATTCAAGAGGGCAAGTGGATTCATCGTCTGCTTTGTGAGATCGTGATGGCTGCCAATGAAGAAGGACCGGAACTCATGATTCATGAAGACAATCAGTCATGTATCAAGATGACGAAGAAACCCAGTCAACCACGGCCGTACCAAGCACATTGATATCAAGTACCATCACATCCGTGATGAGGTCAAGCGCGGTGAAGTGAAGCTCAAGTACTGTGAAACTGCGGTGATGTTAGCGGACATCATGACGAAGGGACTTCATGGACCACGCCACAAGGAGATGACGACGGCTCTCGGGATTCGTGAGCATTCGGATTTAGGGGGCGTGTTGACGGTCATCGGTTTTCTACCAGTATTGGTAACCGTGACCGATCCAATCCGAACCGCCTGTTCAGCTTAGTATTTACGACGTAGTTCTTACGGTAATTACCATAGTTGATTAGACGCGTAGGATGATGAGACGCTTCACATGATTTATATGTACACCACATATAAATCATGTAGTAACTAGTAAGACCCGATAATCAATCACTTTCGAATCTTCCGACAATTGGGCAAGTGTTTTCTGCTCTACTCTCTTCGGTCTCTCCGCTCCGTTCGCTCCGCTTACCTCGCTCCGATCTACAATGCAACAGACATCATGACGAAGGGGCTACTAGGACCACGGCACAAAGACATGACGGCGGCTCTCGACATTCACGCATATTTGCATTGAGGGTGCGCATTGAGGGTGCGCATTGAAGGTTACTGGTACAATCCGATCTTCGAGCGTAGTGCATACGGAATAGTTTTTATGCCGGTGATTACTTCAGAATTGGTTAGACGCGTAGGATGATTGGACGCGTGTAAATCAGGTTGATTAAATGCACCATGGGATTGGATGCAGTCAAGCGTAGGCAGAGTTGATACCTATAAATCAATCACTTCTAAACATTCCTCCTACAGAACAAGTCGTCTTTACTTTGTGGTGTAGACTTCTTTAGCTTTCTTGAAGCGACAGCTTTTCAGCATGGAGATAGCGGAAAGCGGCAATGTCATGCATCATTTTAATGAAGTCCTCAACATCAGAGCGAAGCTCAGCAGCATCAGCGCCAAGATGGAGGACGAGGACGTAGCGATCTTCTTGTGAAGCAGTCTCCTCAAGAGCTACGAGAACGTCGTTCTCAACTTGTAGATGAGCAGCGCAAACTGCAACTGCGCGACGCTGTCAACGTTTTGACGAACGATCACATCAAGCGTCAAGGTGCCAAGTCTGCGGCGGTGAAGACTGAAGAAGTGACCAAGGCCTTCAGTACCGAGCGCGAGGTTCGTCGATGCTCGTTCTGCGTAAATTGGGGAGAAGTGGAACGTTGCTGGACCAAGAGAAGGAATAAAATCGGGGAGCTCGACGCGGTAGCAATGCTCCTGGACGCGGATCGAATCAAGTCCAGTGGCAAGGATACAACAGCAACTGCGACTACGATCGAGTAGTGTTTGCTGTTTCACTGGAATGCGTAATTTCAGCGATCAAGAATACGCCTGAGATGTGTGCGAATAGCAGCGGTGCGACGCAACACATCTGCCATGACAAGAACAAGTTCAAATGCCCGGACGAGCGTAATGAAGGCGAAGCGTTGGTCGCAGATGGGAACAAGGAAAGGTCCCGCAAAACGGTGAAGAGCGCGATATCAAGAACGCGCTTTACGTCCCAAGAATGAGCATACATCTGCTGTCAATTCCGCAAATCAATAAGAGCTGCAAAGCTTAAGTGATGTTCCATGGTGCCGAGATGAAGATTTTACACAAAGACTCCGAGCAAGTGATGGCAATGGCAGAACTTGTAGACGGAATTGACTGGCTTCGTACACTGCAAAGATCCGTGAATGCTACATTGCGATCATGAGACGAAGATCATCATGCGCGTATAGGCCACGCACCAACTGAGGTCCTGTACAGGATGGTTTCCAAGAACATGATCAAGGATGTCAAGATACCACCAAGATCAAGCGAATCAAGCGTGCGTCGTGGTTGTCAAGAAGAAGAAATGGTGCAGCAACCGTTTCCAAGTGACCCGAACAAGCGTCACTATGATCCGATTGAGCTTCTGCACATCGACACGTGTAACCCGATGGAAGCCGACTCGTTAGTTGGAGCCAAGTAATTGCTGCTGATAGAAGATGAAGGCAGTGGATGCATGATGGGCTTCAGTCTGGGCGCCAAGTTCGACAGTGAAACGTGCATCAAGAAGTACATCGTGGCATCCAGATGCAGTTCGACTGCACGGTTAAATATGTTCGGCACAATGGTGCGCGTGAGTGTGCGCCGACTTCGCTCAAGGCATTCTACGATGGTCAAGGAATCGAGCAGCAGGTCACCGTTCCATATGCGCACTAGACTAATGGCAAAGCAAAACAAGGGATTCGGATCATCGGGACAATCGTCCTCAGCTTGCTTCACTACGCAAAACTGGACGAGTGTTTTTGGGCCGAGGCAGTAATGACGGCGATCTACGTCAAGAATCGCCTGCCTTCACCGAAGTACCAAGACTGAACTCCGTTCGAGATCATCAAAGGTTGCGGCCAAGTGTGAAGCACATGCGAGCTTTTGAATACCAAGCGTTCGTGTTGACCCCAAAGAAAAGCGATCGAAGTGGGACCCGAAGGCTTGATGTTCATGGGTTACAAAGAAGTGTTGAAAGTATACCGCATTTACGAAATTAAAGCAGATCAAGTGGTAATATCGCGTGATGTCACCTTTGACGAATCAACGTTTGAATTATCACGGGCACTGCCGCAAGAAGTTGTCGATGACACTGCGCTGGACTTCGACGCGATGGACATCAGTGATGGGCTTTGCACCATGCAGTTCAGGCACAATAGAAAGCGAAAGAGCCGTTCAAACTGCCATGAAAAAGTCTATCAACGGACACTTCCTAATCGCAGTGGAGCCGGGTTGAAAGAAGCAAGTGCACCAGATCATTTTTGAGTCGCGTCAAGCGAAACGGCGCTAAAGAACTCGCGCCAATCTAGACGAAGAGCGAAAAGGCGGTGATGAAGATGACGATGATGAGTCTCCTCTAGTCTTCTGGCAAGCAAGTTCCAATGCAGCCAAAGGTACTGACTTGTCCGAGCTGACAACGTTTCAACGCGCGGGTAGTGGTCCGGATCGAGTTCATTGTCGTAATGCGCTTGCGCCGAGTTGGACTCAATGAAGCTACGTGGCGTATTCCGAGGGACCAAGCTGCCAGATGGACAGCACACCATTGGTACCAAGTGGGTGTTTAAGATCAAGCGCGAGGCTAATAAATCGATCGAAAAGTGCAAGGCCCGTCTCGTGGCAAAAGGGTTCAAGACAAGAAGTGACATTGACTTCACGGAGACGTTCTCACCAGGCGTCAAGTATGTGACACTTGGCATGGTGATCGTGATCACGAGTACTTTTACCGGACGATGGAACAACTAGATGTGGTGACAGCTTATCTGCATGGTGAAATAAAGAGACCAGTGTTTTGCGCGGTCCCAGAGGGTGTAGAAGTCACTGAAGACTTTGACTGCTTCGAGATGGTGAAAGCAATCTACAGACTGAACAAGCTTCACGGGTGTGGAAAGAAACTTTCCATGAGCTCGTCTGCTCTATCAGATTTCAAGCGTACAACTTTTACCCATGCATCGATTTCAAGGTCGCAAGCGGACAGTGCGTGTTTTGCTGGTCTACGTCGATGATGTGTTGGTGACTGGCAGCTCGACTGAAATGATTGCGCGTACGACTTGAAGTCGCATTTCGAGATGACTGACAGAGGCAAGTGTTCTTTTGTGTTGGGTATCGAGATGGTAAAGGATGAAGGCAGCGTGACGATGTGCCAACGACGCTACGTAGACGGTGTTCTGAAGCGGTTCGGCATGAGCGATTGCAAAGCTGTCATCAGCCTAACGGACATCACCCCTCGACTCCACCAAGTAACGCAGCGACCAATATCGACGCTCTGTTTCATCAAGCAGTGGGTGCCTTAATGCACTTGACGACCGCGACACGACCGGGCATTGCCTTAACTGTGAGCTATGTTTCGCGCTTCATGGAGAAACCGCAAGTCGAGCACTGGATGGCGGTCAAGCGTATTGTGCAATGCTTGCATGGATCCAAATTGCACGGCATCTGCTCCAAACTCGGCGGCAAGGTGGATTCCTACGGCTACTCGGATGCAGACTGGTCCGGCAACCATGTGAATCGCAAGTCTACTTAGAGAGACGCATTCATGATCATGTGTGCTCCGGTGAGCTGGGGTAGCAAGAAGCAACCAAGTGTGTAATTGTCAACAAGTGAAGCCGAGTATATCGCTCTAAGTCTGGCGATTCAAGAAGGCAAGTGGGTGCAACGCTTGCTGCGCGATAATTTTCTGGCTACCGCAGCGGACAAGTCCGAGCTCAAGGTTACGGAAGACAACCAGTCCTGCATCAAGATGACGAAGGACTCGGTGATCCATGGTAAAGCCAAGAGCATCAAAATCAAGTACCATTACATCCTTAATGAGGTTAAGTGCGAGAAAGTCAAGCTGGAATCTTGTGAGACGACGAATATATTGGCGGACATCATGACGAAGGGGCCACTAGGACCACGGCACAAAGACATGACGGCGGCTCTCGGCATTCACACATATTTGCATTGAGGGTGCGCATTGAGGGTGCGCATTGAAGGTTACTGGTACAATCCGATCTTCGAGCGTAGTGCATACGGAATAGTTTTTATGCCGGTGATTACTTCAGAATTGGTTAGACGCGTAGGATGATTGGACGCGTGTAAATCAGGTTGATTAAATGCACCATGGGATTGGATGCAGTCAAGCGTAGGCAGAGTTGATACCTATAAATCAATCACTTCTAAACATTCCTCCTACAGAACAAGTCGTCTTTACTTTGTGGTGTAGACTTCTTTAGCTTTCTTGAAGCGACAGCTTTTCAGCATGGAGATAGCGGAAAGCGGCAATGTCATGCATCATTTTAATGAAGTCCTCAACATCAGAGCGAAGCTCAGCAGCATCAGCGCCAAGATGGAGGACGAGGACGTAGCGATCTTCTTGTGAAGCAGTCTCCTCAAGAGCTACGAGAACGTCGTTCTCAACTTGTAGATGAGCAGCGCAAACTGCAACTGCGCGACGCTGTCAACGTTTTGACGAACGATCACATCAAGCGTCAAGGTGCCAAGTCTGCGGCGGTGAAGACTGAAGAAGTGACCAAGGCCTTCAGTACCGAGCGCGAGGTTCGTCGATGCTCGTTCTGCGTAAATTGGGGAGAAGTGGAACGTTGCTGGACCAAGAGAAGGAATAAAATCGGGGAGCTCGACGCGGTAGCAATGCACCTGGACGCGGATCGAATCAAGTCCAGTGGCAAGGATACAACAGCAACTGCGACTACGATCGAGTAGTGTTTGCTGTTTCACTGGAATGCGTAATTTCAGCGATCAAGAATACGCCTGAGATGTGTGCGAATAGCAGCGGTGCGACGCAACACATCTGCCATGACAAGAACAAGTTCAAATGCCCGGACGAGCGTAATGAAGGCGAAGCGTTGGTCGCAGATGGGAACAAGGAAAGGTCCCGCAAAACGGTGAAGAGCGCGATATCAAGAACGCGCTTTACGTCCCAAGAATGAGCATACATCTGCTGTCAATTCCGCAAATCAATAAGAGCTGCAAAGCTTAAGTGGTGTTCCATGGTGCCGAGATGAAGATTTTACACAAAGACTCCGAGCAAGTGATGGCAATGGCAGAACTTGTAGACGGAATCGACTGGCTTCGTACACTGCAAAGATCCGTGAATGCTACATTGCGATCATGAGACGAAGATCATCATACGCGTATAGGCCACGCACCAACTGAGGTCATGTACAGGATGGTTTCCAAGAACATGATCAAGGATGTCAAGATACCACCAAGATCAAGCGAATCAATCGTGCGTCGTGGTTTTCAAGAAGAAGAAATGGTGCAGCGACCGTTTCCAAGCATCCCGAACAAGCGTCACTATGATCCGTTTGAGCTTCTGCACATCGACACGTGTGACCCGATGGAAGCCGACTCGTTAGTTGGAGCCAAGTAATTGCTGCTGATAGAAGATGAAGGCAGTGGATGCATGATGGGCTTCAGTCTGGGCGCCAAGTTCGACAGTGAAACGTGCATCAAGAAGTACATCGTGGCATCCAGATGCAGTTTGACTGCACGGTTAAATATGTTCGGCACAATGGTGCACGTGAGTGTGCGTCGACTTCGCTCAAGGCATTCTACGATGGTCAAGGAATCGAGCAGCAGGTCACCGTTCCATATGCGCACTAGACTAATGGCAAAGCAAAACAAGGGATTCGGATCATCGGGACAATCGTCCTCAGCTTGCTTCACTACGCAAAACTGGACGAGTGTTTTTGGGCCGAGGCAGTAATGACGGCGATCTACGTCAAGAATCGCCTGCCTTCACCGAAGTACCAAGACTGAACTCCGTTCGAGATCATCAAAGGTTGCGGCCAAGTGTGAAGCAGATGCGAGTTTTTGAATACCGAACATTCGTGTCGACCCCAAAGAAAAGCGATCGAAGTCTTCCCCAACTACTGTTGACGGTCATCGGTTTTCTACCAGTATTGGTAACCGTGACCGATCCAATCCGAACCGCCTGTTCAGCTTAGTATTTACGACGTAGTTCTTACGGTAATTACCATGGTTGATTAGACGCGTAGGATGATGAGACGCTTCACATGATTTATATGTACACCACATATAAATCATGTAGTAAGTAGTAAGCCCCGATAATCAATCACTTTCGAATCTTCCAACCTTCGGGCAAGTGTTTTCTGCTCTACTCCCTTCGGTCTCTCCGCTCCGTTCGCTCCGCTTTCCTCGCTCCGATCTACAATGCAACAGGTTATGAGCCCAAGCGCCATGTCGTCCACCAGCAACGCCTCCATTGACAAGTTCAACGGAGACAATTATGCAACGTGGAGCCGGTACATGCGCGGTGTGTTTTTGACGAAGTCCGTCTGGCACGTCGTCAACCGTGAAGTGACTCCGACTTTCACCGACCCGCGAGCGTCCGATGACTACGTCAAGGCAAGCAACATCGCGTTTGGTATGATGCTGCTGCACATGAACGCGGACTACCATCATGTGCTGGACAACTGCGAGGAAGCCTGGGTTGCGTGGACAAGTCTGAAGACGCTGTACGGTGGGTCGCAGAAGGCAGGACGCATCTACCTCAAGCGGCAACTTTTCAGTATCAAGATGGCTGAAGGCGCGAGCGTCATACATCACTGCAACGAGGTCCTCAATATCTCCGCCAAGCTTAGCGGCATCGGTGCGAAGATGGAAGACGAAGACGTTGCGATCTGTCTGCTACTCAGTCTTCCGAAGAGCTACGAAAATGTGGTGCTCAACATGGAAATGAGCAGCACCGAGCTTCGCACTCAATATGTGGTGAGAGTCCTGACGAATGAGCATGCCAAGCGTCAAGGAGAAAAAGGGACAACGACAGCGACTACGGTGAAGGCTGAAGATGCAAGCAAGGCATTCAGCGCCGAGCGTCAGCCCTACCAATGCACGTATTGTGGCAAGGTGGGACACACGGTGGATCGTTGCTGGACAAAGCAGAAGAACGAAGGTCGGGGAGCCCGGCGCGGCGGCAATGGTCGTGGACGCGGGGCTAACAATGTCCAGTGGGGACATCATGATGAAGGCAATGGCTACGATCGAGTGGCGTTTGCAGTCTCGTTCGAATGTGGAGTTTCGACGAGCAAGGACGTGTCTGGAATGTGGGCCGTCGACAGTGGTGCAACGCACCACATTTGCCACGACAAGACCAAGTTCGCAAGTTTGGCAGAGCGCAATGAGGGCGAACTCTTGGTGGCTGATGGCAACAAGGTGGCCATCAAGGGTGTGGGAACCATCATGGAAAAGGTGGTTCTGCCCAACGGTGAAGAGCGTGAGATCGAAATCAAGAACGCGCTATATGTTCCAAGTATGAGCAAGAACCTGCTCTCGGTGCCACAGATTAACAGCCATGGCAAGTTTCAAGTCGTGTTTGACGGGTCCAAGATGTATGTAACTCTCAAGAACTCACAGCAAGTGGTGGCGACAGCGGATCTCGTGGATGGACTCTACTGGCTTCGGACGACTCAACGATCAGCGAATGTGACAACAAGGGGAACCAGTTGTGCCGATCTACATGCGAGAATGGGTCATGCTCCAGTCGATGTACTTCGCAAGATGATCGCGACCAACATGATCAAGGATGTGCGAGTCCCTCTCAAGTCGGGTGGAGCAACTACATGTCGAGGATGTCAACAAGGGAAAATGGTCCAAAAACCATTTCCAAGCAACCGAGACAAGCGCAGCTACGATACGTTTGAGCTGCTTCATCTGGACATCTGCGGGCCCATGGAAAAGGATTCGCTCGGTGGCAGCAAATATTTGCTGCTGATCATCGACGAAGCCAGTGGATGCATGAAGGGCTTTTGTCTACGAGTGAAGTCCGAGAGTGAAGACTACATCCGGAAATATATCACCATGGTACAGACGCAATTCTGTAAGAAGGTCAAGTTCGTGCGACACGACGGAGCTCGCGAGTTTGCAACCAACTCGCTTCAACTGTTCTACGAAGACGAAGGCATTGAACAGCATACAACGGTGCCGTATGCACATCAAACGAACGGAACAGCAGAGCGTGCAATTAGGACTATTGTCACGATCGGCCGCAGCATGCTTCATCATGCCAAACTGGACAAGTGTTTCTGGGCCGAATCAGCGATGACGGCCATCTACGTCAAGAATCGACTGCCGTCACCTAAAGTCGTGCACAAGACCCCGTTTGAGATCGTCTACAACTTGAAACCATGCGTCAAGCACACGCGAACATTCGGGTGTCAGACATACATACTGACGCCTAAAGAGAATCGACTCAAGTGGGATCCAAAGGCTCGCGCTGGCATATTCGTGGGCTACGAAGAAGTGTCCAAGGCATATCGTGTATTTGACATTGAGGCGGGGCAGGTGGTTATCAGCCGCGATGTCAACTTCGACGAGTCCACCTTTGGACTTCAACTGCCGATCACTGATGAAGATGTCGATGACCTGGACTTCGAATTGCTGGATCTTGATGACGAAGAGCTGCGTCAAATGGAGTACAAGCAAACAGGCAAGCGCAAGAACCGACTCAATGATGAAGATACAGCAGCTCCACGACCGTGTGCAGTGCGTCAACGACCAGGACTAGAAGAGTCAAGCGCGCCGGAAAACAACTCGTCACGACAAGAAGAAGACGAAGAAACGAAGGATTCTGGTGATTCAACACCGCCTGTGTTTTGGCGTGCGAGTGCAAATGCCGTTGAAGCAGCAGTGGACTTATCAGAACCCTCAACATTTGAAGCAGCAGTAAGCGGCCCTGACCAAGTGCACTGGAGAAAAGCAATTCATGCAGAGCTCGAGTCAATGCGACTTCGCGGTGTGTTTCGTGCAGCCAAGCTGCCCAACGGACAACGCGCCATTGGCACAAAATGGGTGTTCAAGATCAAGCGCAAGGCGGATGGGTCAATCGAGAAGTACAAGGCACGATTTGTGGCCAAGGGTTTCCGCCAAAAGTATGCATCGACTACACGGAGACGTTTTCGCCTGTGGTCAAGTATGTGACGCTGCGAATGGTGATCGCAATTTCCAAGCATTTTGGATGGCCCATCGACCAGCTTGATGTGGTGACAGCTTTCCTGTATGGCGTCATGAAGGAACAAGTGTTCTGCGTGATTCATGAAGGCGTCGAACTTGACAGTACGTTCGACTGCCTGGAATTGGTGAAGTCAATTTACGGCCTCAAGCAAGCGTCGCGAGTGTGGAACGAGACGTTCGACGAGTATGTGTGCTCCATCGGATTTCAAGTATCGGACTTCGACCCATGTCTCTACATCAAGACTTCGGACGGCCATTGCTTGTTTATACTGGTCTACGTGGACGACGTCTTGGTGACTGGAAGCTCGCTCGAGCTGATTGCACAAACCAAGAACGACCTGAAGACGCGGTTCGAGATGACGGACAGCGGCAAATGTGCGTTTGTTCTTGGGATCGAGCTTTTGGACGGTGCAGATGGAAGTGTGACACTATGTCAGCGTCGGTATGTCGATGATATCCTCAAGCGCTTTGGCATGGATGATTGCAAGGCAGTCGCAAGTCCAGTCGACATGAGCTCTCGACTTGTTTCAAGTGATGCAACTACCAAGGTCGATGCTCCTTTTCGCGAAGCTGTTGGTGCGTTGATGCACCTGACCACTGCAACGCGTCCGGACATTGCGTTTGCTGTGGGCTATGTGTCGCGGTTCATGAAAAATCCCCAAGAAGAACACTGGGTTGCAGTTAAGCGTATCTTTCGCTACCTACAAGGCACCAAGACGTGCTACAAGCCAAGTGCAAGGATCGACTTCCGTGGATATTCGGATGCGGATTGGGCTGGTGATCTTACCGACCGCAAGTCACCATCGGGGTACACGTTCATGCTACTCGGTGCGCCAGTGAGTTGGGGCAGCAAGAAGCAGCCAAGTGTTTCGTTGTCCACGACTGAAGCTAAATACATCGCACTCAGCTTGGCGATTCAAGAGGGCAAGTGGATTCATCGTCTGCTCTGTGAGATCGTGATGGCTGCCAATGAAGAAGGACCGGAACTCATGATTCATGAAGACAATCAGTAATGTATCAAGATGACGAAGAAACCCAGTCAACCACGGCCGTACCAAGCACATTGATATCAAGTACCATCACATCCGTGATGAGGTCAAGCGCGGTGAAGTGAAGCTCAAGTACTGTGAAACTGCGGTGATGTTAGCGGACATCATGACGAAGGGACTTCATGGACCACGCCACAAGGAGATGACGACGGCTCTCGGGATTCGTGAGCATTCGGATTGAGGGGGCGTGTTGACGGTCATCGGTTTTCTACCAGTATTGGTAACCGTGACCGATCCAATCCGAACCGCCTGTTCAGCTTATTATTTACGACGTCGTTCTTACGGTAATTACCATAGTTGATTAGACGCGTAGGATGATGAGACGCTCCACATGATTTAGATGTACACCACTAAAAAATCATGTAGTAAGTAGTAAGCCCTGATAATCAATCACTTTCGAATCTTCCAACTATTGGGCAAGTGTTTTCTGCTCTACTCTCTTCGGTCTCTCCGCTCCGTTCGCTCCGCTTACCTCGCTCCGATCTACAATGCCACAACTACCAAGACTGAACTCCGTTCGAGATCATCAGAGATTGCGGCAAAGTGTGAAGCAGATGCGAGTTTTTGAATACCGAACGTTCGTGTCGACCCCAAAGAAAAGCGATCGAAGTCTTCCCCAACTACCCAGACTGAACTCCGTTCGAGATCATCAAAGGTCTTGGCCAAGTGTGAAGCACATGCAAGCTTTTAAATACCAAGCGTTCGTGTTGACCCCAAAGAAAAGCGATCGAAGTGGGACCCGAAGGCTTGATGTTCATTAGTTACAAAGAAGTGTTGAAAGTATACCGCATTTACGAAATTAAAGCAGATCAAGTGGTAATATCGCGTGATGTCACCTTTGACGAATCAACGTTTGGATTATCACGGGCACTGCCGCAAGAAGTTGTCGATGACACTGCGCTGGACTTCGACGCGATGGACATCAGTGATGAGCTTTGCACCATGCAGTTCAGGCACAATAGAAAGCGAAAGAGCCGTTCAAACTTGTTGACGGTCATCGGTTTCTACCAGTATTGGTAACCGTGACCGGTCCAATCCGAACCGCCTGTTCAGCTTAGTATTTACGACGTAGTTCTTACGATAATTACCATAGTTGATTAGACGCGTAGGATGATGAGACGCTTCACATGATTTATATGTGCACCACATATAAATCATGTAGTAAGTAGTAAGCCCGATAATCAATCACTTTCCAATCTTCCATCTACCCCCCAAGTGTCTTCTCCGGTCTTCCGAGTGGACTCCCAGCATCCCTTCTCAGTTTCGGTCGTCAAGCTTTTCACCAATCAACAGGTTATGAGCCCAAGCACGATGTCCTCTGCTCATGATGCCACCACCAAGATCTCCATCGACAAGTTCGACGGCGACAACTACGCGACGTGGAGCCGCTACATGCGTGGCGTGTTCCTGACCAAGTCGACGTGGCACGTGGTGAACCGGGAGACCACCCCCACCTTCGCCGATCCTCGCGCCAGTGACGACTACGTCAAGACGAACAACATTGCGTTCGGCTTGATGCTGCTTCACATGAGCGCGGATTATCATCACGTGGTTGATGACTGTGAAGAGGCGTGGGTCGCGTGGGCGCGTTTGAAGACGCTGTACGGCGGGTCGCAGAAGGCTGGACGCATCTAATTGAAGCGCCAGCTGTTCAGCATGGAGATGGCGGAAGGCGGCAGTGTGATGCATCATTGCAACGAAGTCCTCAACATCAGCGCGAAGCTCAGCAGCATCGGCGCCAAGATGGAGGACGAGGACGTGGCGATCTGCTTGTTGCGCAGCCTCCCCAAGAGCTACGAGAACGTCGTTCTCAACTTGGAGATGAGCAGCGCGGAACTGCGATCGCGAGATGTCGTGAGAGTGCTCACGAATGATCACATCAAGAGGCAAGGTGACAAGACGACATCGGTGAAGACTGAAGACGCGGCGAAGGCGTTCAGTGCCGAGCGTGAACCTCGCCAGTGTACATACTGCGGAAAATTGGGACACACGGCGGAGCGGTGCTGGACCAAGCAGAAGGACGAAAATCAAGGTGGAGCTCGACGCGGCGGCAACAATGCTCGTGGACGCGGAGCCAACAACGTTCAGTGGCGAACCAACAGCAACTACGACGACAACTACGATCGAGTTGCGTTCGCGGTTTCGCTGGAGGCTGGACTTTCGACGGGCAAGAATATGCCAGGGATGTGGGCAGTCGACAGCGGTGCGACGCATCACATCTGCAACGACAAGGCCAAGTTTGCAAGCTTGAATGAGCGAGAGGAAGGCGAACTATCAGTGGCTGATGGCAGCAAGGCTGCGATCAAGGGTGTGGGAACCATCATGGAACGGGTGGTTCTGCCCAATGGTGACGAACGCGACATCGAGATCAAGGACGCACTGTTCGTACCAAGTATGAGCAAGAATCTGCTTTCGGTGCCACAGATCAACAAGGGTGGCAGGTTCCAAGTCGTGTTCGATGGATCCAAGATGCAAGTGAAGCGCAAGAATTCCACACAAGTCGTGGCAACAGCGGATCTCGTCGATGGACTTTACTGGCTGCGGACTCCTCAACGATCGGCAAATGCAGCAACACGCAATGGGACCATCGACTTGCATGCGCGCATGGGTCATGCACCCCTCGAAGTTCTGCGCAAGATGGTGGCCACTGGCATGATCAAGGACGCCAAGGCACCTCTCAACTCGACTGGTCCAAGTGTGTGTCGCGGTTGCCAGCAAGGAAAGATGGTTCAAAAACCATTCCCAACCAACCGTGACAAACGCCAATATGGTGTGTTCGAGTTGCTGCACTTCGACATCTGCGGGCCAATGGAACAAGTCTCGATCGGCGGCAGCAGATACTTACTGCTTGTGGTTGACGAAGCCAGCGGTTGCATGAAGGGCTTCTGTCTGCGGTCCAAGTCTGAGAGTGAAGACTGTATCGAGAACCACATTATCAAGATTCAGACTCAGTTCGGCACGAAGATCAAGTTTGTTCGGCACGATGGAGCGCATGAGTTTGCGACCAACTCGATCAAGACCTTCTACGAAGATCATGGTATCGAACAACAGGTCACGGTGCCGTATGCACACCAGACCAACGGCACCGCAGAACGCGCAATAAGGACCATCGTCACGATCGGACGCAGCTTGTTGCATCATGCAAAGCTGGAGAAGTGTTTCTGGGCTGAAGCGGCAATGACGGCGATCTACATCAAGAACCGCCTGCCTTCACCCAAGATCGACCACAAGACTCCGTTCGAGATCGTGTACAAGTCGAAACCAAGTGTCAAGCACATGCGCGTGTTTGGATGTCGGGCGTTTATCCTGACACCAAGGGAGAAGCGATTGAAGTGGGATCCGAAGGCTCGTGAAGGGATGTTCATGGGCTACGAAGAAGCGTCAAAAGCTTATCGAGTGTACGACATTGAGGCGGGCCAAGTGGTGATCAGTCGTGACATCACCTTCGACGAATCGACTTTTGACTTTTCGATGGACCGACCAAGTGACGATGATGAAGATGCGGAGTTGGACCTCGACCTCCTGGCGATCAACGAGGACGACGTGCGTCAAACCGTCTACAATCAGACTGGCAAGCGCAAGAGTGAAGCAAATCCCCGGCATGTCACATTCAGCTCGCCCTCGAACTGGGTTGGAACAAGCAAGCGCGCCGGAACACGTCTCCAACCGTCACCAGAAACGACGATCAAGTGCTCCAGAAACGATGTCTGATGACGAAGAAGATGCAAGCGTCTACGATCAAGATGACGACTCGACGCCTCCAACATTTTGGCGTGCAAGTGCAAACGCAGTGGAAGCAACGGACCTAGCAGAACCTGTGACTTTTCAAGACGCGATCAATGGTCCTGATCAAGCTCACTGGCGAAATGCTGTGAAGGCGGAACTCAAGTCGATGCATCTTCGTGGAGTTTTCCGTGCGGCAAAACTGCCAAGAGGCCAAGGCGCGATCGGCACCAAGTGGGTGTTCAAGATCAAGCGCAAAGCGGATGGATCGGTCGAGAAATACATGGCGCGTCTCGTTGCCAAGGGCTTCAAGCAGAAGTACGGCATCGACTACACAGAGACGTTCTCGCCCGTGGTCAAGTACGTGACACTGCGTATGGTGATCGCGATCACCAAACATTTCGACTGGCCACTGGACCAACTCGATGTGGTGACAGCCTTTCTCTACGGAGTGATGAAGGAGAAGGTGTACTGCGTGATAACCAGAAGGCGTCGAGATGGATGGCGACTTCGACTGTCTCGAGTTAAGGAGGCGATCTACGGTCTCAAGCAAGCTTCACGTGTGTGGAACGAGACTTTCGACGAGTTCGTATGCTTTATCGGTTTCGAAGTGTCGGCGTTCGACCCATGTCTCTACATCAAGGTTGTCGACGGTCACTGTGTGCTCGTGCTGGTCTACGTGGATGACGTGTTGGTCACCGGCAGCTCGCTCGAGTTGATTGCGCAGACGAAGGCCGACCTCAAGACGCGTTTCGAGATGACCGACAGTGGCAAGTGTACTTTTGTACTGGGCATCGAACTGGTGGACGAATCGGATGGCAGCGTGACGATGTGCCAGCGACGGGTATGTCAACGACATCCTCAAGCGCTTCGGCATGGATGAGTGCAAGGCCACAGCAAGTCCGGTCGATTTGAGCACTCGGCTTGTCGCAAGCAGCAGAAGCGGCCAAGATCGAAGTTCCGTTTCGTGAAGCTGTGGGAGCTTTGATGCACTTGACGACTGCGACG